TTATAGACTATATATATATATAGTTGATATAAGTACTTGGGCTTGTGCGTATTTCTTGCTTTTATTATTTGTATTAAATATGAACTATGTAGGTATACATGTATATATATAGACTTGTGTATATCAATTAAATATAGGAAACTCTTTAAGCGGCGTATACTTTTCGAAAGCACCTAAGAACTAAACAACTTAGTATTCTATGAAAATATCAAATAGTATTTGGGTTAAAATTTTTCAAATTATGAGCGTTAGCCCCCATCTAAGCCCTAGCCCCCGCTTAACTACCAACTAATTGTGTGTGCTTGGGCCACCCTGCGATGCGCCTTTTGTGTTCTTTTTTTTATCTCATTTCCCAACAAAAAACAAAAAAATAATAATTATTATTACTATAGAATTAAACTGAGCACTGAAAGAGAACGAAAACTAAAGAAAATCTAAAAATTCACGAACGAGGGAAATTTCAATGTTACGTTCATCTCACAAAGATCCTGGCATCCCTACAACTCCTCCAGGCAGCGCACATTGGTGAGCATGATGCGGGTCAGGCGCCAGACCTGCTTCGCAGCATTCTCGAGGGCGCCCGGAGACTTGCCCTTGAAGAGATCCATGTTGGGCAGGAAATAGTGGGGACAGCGACGGCACTGCAGGCAGGATATCAGCTGCAGGAATATCCCATTGATTCGATCCGCAATGCAGTTCTCCTCCCACTCCATTTCCCTCGGATGCTTCTCGCATTCGTAGAGCAGCAACGTTTTCAGATGATACGACGTTACGGGATTGCCGGGCAGATCCAGATGACGATCACGTAATGTCTTCAATATGCTAAGGCAGCGACGGCGACTGGCACCTGAAATGAAGAGAAATATCATTTAAATAAATAAAATTAATGATAATTTATAAAACATTCCAAATAAGCTATCGAACTATGGATACAGAGAGAGAGAGAGAGAGAGAGAGAGAGAGAGAGAGAGAGAGATAGAGGGAGAGAGAGAGAGAGAGAGAGAGAGAGAAAAAGGTCTCAATCTATATAGATCTAAAATTCGATTTTTTATTAACACAAAATTTGTTTTGTCAAAAATTTATAGTCTTATACGATATATTATCTATTTGTCTTCCACTTTAACATTCACTTTAACCTCCTGTTACACGTTATATACTGATATATACTATATATACATAAATATTATACTTTATATACTACTTTTTTTCACCTTTCATATTTAACATGTACTTTATCTGCCTGTCAAATGCTATTTTATGGCGGCATCCAGCTTTTTTAACTTGACTGTCACATAAAATGTAACAAGCAGTCACGTTTTTGACATTTAGATACAAGTGAGCGTTGCCACCTAGCCATAAATTGAATCGCAGCGCACAGTAAGTTTGAATTGATATTCGAAATGGTTTTCTATAAATATTATTTGTACAATTTCATAATACCCCAAGTGTAGATATTGTTTGTCACTGATTATTTCGACCATGCTCATGCCCAATTAGTCATTTGAATGGCACTCAAGTGTCGAAAAAGTGTGAAATGTAGGAAAACATTTTACGAAATTTGATAACTGCGCTGACTAATCGGTTTCGCTCAAAACTTGTCTTTAATTTGCTGATAATTGACAGTTCGTATATCGTAAGAAAGGCCCCCAAAACAATCAGTTTACAGGCCGGCTCCAGGTTCACTTCTTCGGATATTTTGTGAACCGATTTTGATTGATAAACCCACACATTGTTTGGGACGTCAAACAGCACATAAATCATGGACTTCGAGTGTCAAAATTACTAATCTCAAACGGTGCCCGATAATCATATATTGGGTGCGTTGATATGATGTCTACCCATGGGCTCTTTACGCCAACTGCGACTAAAATAGTATGTTTGCTCCATAGCTGGGAGTACTTGAAATTTTATAATAGAGTTCCGCTCAAAACTACTTATGGAAAATGGTTTGGTTTATGGCCAATTTGAATGACTGTATACTTTTTGAAAGGGCAAACTCTAATTTAAGGTGAGAGTTATCGATAAACGACTGTAATGAGTTCAAGTCAGAATCGATTAGTTTTCCAAAGATTGCTGTTTATCGATAACAATAATCAATAATCAGTTTATATTTCGAATGAAGTTGGTTAAAATTTAGAAAAAAACAATGGATGATAACGATAAATGTTTGGATAAAGTTTGCATGGAAATCAATCGATGCATAATAATTCACATTAATTTCTTGCTAAATACGAGTTAAGAAGAAGTTTCATTAATGCGAAATAAAGAAACTGATAAAACAAATTTTATTATAGTCGATAGCCGACAACAATATAGATATTGAGAAAAAAAAAACAAACAACGAAAATAAAATAGAAAAAAAAAAAATAAGCACAAGATCAGATATATTCGTACGTATCTATAAGATTAGGAGCAAGCGGTACACGATAACGATATACAATCGAATAATATTGAATACTAATAGATCAGCGCTTCATTAATATACTATAGAAATGCGCAGACTGATCAAAGCATGAATAAAACAAAGACGCATCGAATGTGACAATGGAAATCTGATAGGTGTGACAGCAAGCGTAATCGATAGACGATAGGCGATAACGATATTGTAATGGATACAGTCGCATTGGCAGTTAGTCGAGGGGCACGATCGCTGGCTCCTAAAGAAGAAACAAGCAATTATTATGCGACAGCCAGCATTAAATTAAATGTCAAGTCGCTCGACTAGCATCCAAGAGACACGATTCCAAGATTCCAAGATGCGAAGACTCGAAGATCGGTGATCGAGAGAGATCGTTGAGAGGGCGCATAAAATCAAATGTGAGGGCTTGAGATTTGATTTCGATTTGGGTCTTTGGCTAAGTTTTTATCTTCTTTCATATTTTATTTCGCTTCTTCTTTTTTTGTTGTTTTTGTTTTTGCTTTGTCGTCTCTGGTGGCTTTAAAGGTTTTTTTTTTTTTTGTTTTTGTTTTTTGTTTTAGCTTTTTATTTGTATTTGTATTTTGCTTGGCTGGCTTCTTGAGACCGGGCCGGCGCACCGTTGTTTTTATTTATTTGTTGACTTTATCTAATCGCCGAGATTTAAAATATTTATAAAATCGTTTAGAAATTTATTTATGGCTCGGTCACTGTTGGCATTTGTTGATATCGAGCCGAAAACCCGTTTCTCCGCCGCCTTATACCGATGGTTAGCGTCTGCTCGAGACTTCGGCCCAACTTCGTTTATCTGACTCAGATCAGCGTGGATTTGTGCGCGTGGAGACATCAGCCGGAAAGGCGGCCAAAGGTGGCTTATCCAATAAATAGTGCTCGGCCTAGTCCACACACAGATTTATGATCGCTGCCCATCATGGAGGCCATATCTCATTGCTTATCGCGCTTCGATAAACGGATGCGTTTTGCTCCGCCGGGCCACAGACGATCGGTTGCCTAAACGGTTTTCTCCCTTCGCCGTCTAACTTAATGGAAATTGATTGGGAATCGATAAACAGAATAGAAATAGAAGCTGATCGTCTATATCGTATGTATTACTAACTAGCTAGCATTTTTTATAGCTCAACTAGACACTCCACAAATACTTAGAGTCGCATAAAAGTTGAGTCTGATTCGATCGTGTCTCGCACCTAACTAAATCTTTTTAATTGCTGCGATGATTAGATTAGGCAAGTGTTAACTGATCTCTGACCAGTGAAGCACCTGTAAAAACTTTAATTACCTTCGTTTATGATCAATTAAGTTACTAACTGGTCTTTAAAAGCAACATCTCTACCATGATCAGTGGAGATATTCACAGTCTTCAATCGGATCATGTTTGGCTTTTGTCAAGGAAAGCCGTTAGACTAGTCCTCAGTGTTATCGGTCGAGGATTAGATGCAGTCATTGAATTGATCAACTGATGTACTGATCAACTGATCACAAGATCTTCACGTTGATCACATGTTCAACAGAGCTCGGCGATCAGAGCTAATCGAATGCAGTTTGATGGGAGTCCAGCTTATCGAATGGATCTTGTCGCTAGCCGTCGCAGCACACACATACACACACATCTGTATATATATATATCTTGATAGCTGAATTGATTTACAAGCAATTATATGAAAACTACAGTCGCTGATTTGTTCGAAATAAATCAATTAAATTTAAGTGTGTCGCTGATTGTAAACACATTGACGGGGAGCTAGCTGCTGTTGAAGATCGGTGGGGGGTGGTGAGAGGAGCCAGGTAGCCAGGCAGCTCGATTTTCTTCATTTGAAATTTACTATCGGCTATCTTTTATTATTCGTATTTTTTGGTTTAACTCGGTTTGAGACGTTTTTGTTTGTTTGTTTATTTTTGTTGGCTTTTGGAACGTACGAACGTACTCTGACACTGATGAAAACTAAAGTCATATTTGTTTTCCAGCATGTTTGTAAGAGAAGATGAAGAAGAACTCGATTTGATTGAGAGTTACATTTTCCGATTTTAATTCGATTTATTTTTATAAAGCAAAATCGAAAACTGCAACATTAAATGATCCTCTGAAGTCGCAATATAATCAAATTTGAGTTTGAAGTAAGCAAATTTATTTTCTTCGATAACAAAACGAAGCAGATATGCGAATCACGAAACAATTAGTTTTATCTGATAATTAAATCAAACTATTGTAGTAGTTGGAGATCTAGATAAATATAAGCTTTGAATACTTTTGGTATAGATATTCTATTTAGTTATGTGCAGCTCCATAACAAATTTATTTAAAGCATTTCTAAATAATTTTCAAAATTATATATCTGAACTATTTAAGTCGCCCATGCAGTATTAGATCTCTACTACTCAATGTATTATACTATCGTATATGTACTATAGAAATACTATATACTTTTACTAACATTGTTATCTATCTCTACTGTAATAATGTTTCCTATATGTAAACTACTTCATTATACGAAATAAATACTACATACATTTACTAATAATGTTATGTATAAGATATTTAAAAAATATTTGTAAAATAAATAATCCCCCAATACTTTATCCTATATATGTGAGCTACTTCAGGGATCTTTGCATATCATAACTGTACTTGTTTCCATGTATAGTATATAAAACTATACGTACTACAACACCATACACTCTACAAAAGATCCATATATACATGGGTTTTGCTCTTGGAATGTATTCCAATGTTTTACCTATCTATTGGGCATCTCAAGTCTCCATTACAATGAGTGAAATACTTATATACATGGTATATATATTCTGTAACTATTATATGTAGTAATCCATTAAATATCCCATGCCAAGCATCTTCACTGTCTAGGTGAGCTCTCAATTAAAATTAGCTTTGCATGCCGTCGGCACATTTGATTTGCTTCGCAGTTGAGCACTCACCTTGCAATAGCCGATTCTCGGCGTCCGTAAAGCTGAGCACCCAGGCATCGCCCTCCATGGCGGAGTTCTTGCCCTGGAGTGCGATGCACTCCTTGGAAAGCATATCGAAGCCCTCAGTCTTAACCTCTGCTACAATGTTGGGATGCGGCCAGGGTATGCCGGGCAGCGGCCAGTGCGACGCCGATCGCGGCCAGAGGCCGGCGCACTTGAAGGCGGGCGTAATTTGGACAATGATCCGCTCCCTGATCCGCAGCTTCACCTCCGTGGTGTCGGCGATCATTTTGACAATGTCGCGATAGGCGCACTTGTCGCACGCCTGCGCCACCAGCGTCTGGAATCTGGAGCGTATCTTGCGCGCCGATAGATAGCCGGACGCTGTGATGAACTCCACCCACAGCGACATGGAGCGTTTGCGTCCGTCGCTCAGCTTCAGCACCGCACAGCCGGGCAGAGTGCCGTCGTCCACAAAGTTGAGGACGCCCATCTGATTGAGGTAGATGATGATTTCGAACTCTGTGGGTGAGATCACTTCCAGGCCCTCGAAACGGCCGTTGTAGTCATTCAGCGATGAGATGAAGCGTGGCTCCTGCACCTCCACCTCCTTGAGGACGTCCTGGACGATGCGGCATACCTCCTGGATCTGCTTGTGTATCTGCGCCTTGCGCACCTGCACCCGATCCGCGCAATATTTGTTCATTTGATAAACCATCTTGGACTGTGCCGCGATCATGTCCGACGGCACCAGCATTATTGACCCGGGCGACGACGTCGTGGTGCTTACTCTTAACTCTTTCTAGATATATATGCACGAGTATATATCCGCATATATATGTATGATCCGTATAAGTATTTGTACTAGGAACTGTTGTTTAGAGATACCTTAGCTTGTTTGAAAACAGTTTTAGCATGGTTTTAGCATTTGCTTCAAATTCACTTATCGCTTATCCAATTTGTTTGGTTCTCTTAGGCACAGCACACAAAAAAATTGATAACAAAATGCAATTGTTTGGGTGTGTGGAACGTTGCGAACGCTGGCGGCGGCGTTTCGTTACTGTCGCGTTTTCACCACAATTCAAGTCACTGTTTTGCATTGAGTTTCGCACGCGTCGCAGTCGCAGTCGCTGTCACGGTCGCAGTCACAGTTGCAGTCACAGTCGCACTCAACTCGTGTCGCGTGTACTCGCGCCATCAACTCCAAGACATTGACTGATTTCGTATGGCGTGCACGCCGCAAGAAAAGTATCTTTGGCAGCCACAGTCGCAGCCGCGGTCGCGGCCGCAGTCGCCGTCGCAGCGCTGCCCAGTCTCCATCTCGTCGAACTCCCCAATGAGTAGCAGCACTGGCAGCAGCAGCGAGTGCGAGTGCGAGCGAAACAGCGATAGCCCTGGCATAGCCCGTGTGACTTTTGCCCACCACACTCCATCTCGCTCTGGCACGCTCTCTCACTCTCTAACCACACCTGAAGCAGCGAGAGCATGCGTAATGGCTGAGCAGCAAACTCTGTCGGCGCAAGCCAGTGTGAGTGTGCCTGTGTGCATGTGTGTGTGAGTACGCTTTCCTTTGTGCTGGTTTCTTGTGTTTGTTTAATGCTCTTTTGATTGTTTGTTTGTTTAATAATGCGCTATAATGGCGACCACACTGCATTGGGAGCGCGAGAGCGAGCTGCCGAGAGAACGCCTGGCTGTTAGCTCTAGCTGATATGCTTTTGCAATTATACTTTCTCTCTTTGCAACCACAACAACCCCGTAAATGCATTCCCTTCTATATAGCCCATCATTTCCATTTGCTTCTGTTGCGGCCGCCGCTGACGTCGCCGGCGGTTGACTCCGCCTCTTTTTTGCGCTCACACAAGCACACAGAGAGTGGCAGAGCGAGAGAGCAAGCGCAAGAGAGAGGCAGCCGGCATATGCGGCGCTCACACAGATAAGCACCAATACACAGAGCCAGCGTTGTTGTTATTGTCCACACTTGGGGTTGGCCTGTGGGTGTAGTTCGTTTCTCACTCCCTCTCTCTTGTTCTTTCGTTTTTCTTTATTCTTTGTGGACTGCAGGCATTGTAAAAGTAGTTGTTGACTGCTATTCGCATTACAGTTAAATAAATAACATAAACAGCGCTCCAACAGTGGCCATTAACATGCGTGATTTATGTTAAGATGTCTGCGCGCGAATCTCGCAACGTAAATACAAAAGCAACTCTCTTAGCTTAGTGGACATATCAAATGAGCTGCAACTGTAATTATACTAGTTACACTCTGATGTTAAAGAACAAATCTTTAGAAACTAATTGCGCTGTTATTTATAACTTGCTATTGCCACAAAATGAGCTTAGAAAGTAACAAAGTAACGAGGAAGTTGTGTTAGTTAAGTTGGCATAGATTTTGTTGTTTGATATTATAATATTTATATCTGTACGCGCATACATATGTATGTAAGTGTATAATAAATGATAATTATTAAATAATATGTACATGTTTTAATGCAATTAACATTGCTTACACAGAGAAAGTTATTTCACAGTTTATATCACGTTTTGCTTTTGATTCTACTCAAAAAACTAACATAACATTTTATAGTATCTCTTGATTTGTTATGTTATATAATAATCATATAGAATACAATAATCTGAATATGAAATATTTGTAGCCTATTACCATAGTAGAACAAATCTTTCAAATTTTTAAAAATATTTCAAGTATTATATAAATTTTTCATTGTGCTTGTGCTGCAATTGCATATAGGAATACCTAAGGCGGCCTGTTACATTTTGGGCCTAAAAATCAATCTTTATTTATTTATCTAAATGAACTTATAAAAAAGTGTAATAAATATAATAAATTAATAAATTTGCAAAACTACAATTTTATATTAAAATTATTTCATGTTTAAATAATACATAATATTCCAAAGAATCTTTATATATTATTTAAGCAATTTAACTGATATTTATTAATGAATACATCCGAATGATAAACTAAGCATAAACTGAGTAGCAGCTGCCTATGGACTCCTTAAATATACACAAATAGAGTTAAGCGTAACTGTAGTAAAAATCGATGCTTTGTTGCATAGTCAAGACATCCTCTCAAGTTCCGTATAACTTCTTTATATGTAACATAATTTTTTTTTTTTTTTTTTTTWTACGCCCATTAATGCACATCTAATGTGATTAATGGACGCTTAACACGAGCTGCCAGTCAGAGAGTGGGCGTAGAGAGAGAGAGGGAGAGAGAAAGGCAGAGCGACAGAGGGGAAGAGCGGGGGCTTGGCTAGCTGGTGTCATATCTAGCTTTTAATGCGCAGAGTCTGGCAACATTAAGTTCCACTTTAAGAGAGTGGCAAACAAATTATTATGTATAATTCAGTTAAGAACTGTGTGCCGGAACCTGCATTAAGATAAAGCTAATTAACACCTCAGACCCGACTCGGTGCCGGAGCACCCTAAATTGGCTCTAGAATACGCTTGCCACATGCGTCTATCATTTTTCTCTGCTCTGACGATAAGCGGCGGCTAGGCAGGAGACGGAATCGGAGACGGGGCTGGGGCAGGAGTCGGAGCTGGAGCTGGAAATGGAAATGAGCCGTTGGATGATAATGTGCGAGAGAAATGCGCTGGGAATCGCTTTAATGGCCGCGTAAATGTGGAAAATTATCAAAGGGACACGAACTTAATTGCGTCCATTATCGGCCTTTATGGCATATAAATTGGAAATGAATTATGCAGCCAGACACAAAAGATCTTCATTAGGCCAGGTCTTGGCCAAGTGGCCAAGTGGCCAGCGACTGCAGCTTCTGCTCTTTGCCTTTGTCTGTCTCTGTCAAGGTCGTCTCGCTCGCTTTTTGGTGCACACAAAACTCTATCGGATAAGATAAAGCAGCCATTGATGCTGTGCGATTTATGCGAGTCACGCAGCTCTCTCGATCCCATTGACCGGATCATTGGCCGCTAAGTGGAGGCTGCACGGTAGTCGTTGCGTTTAATTAAATTGTGTATGTTGTATGCCAGTATGTGTCTGTGTGTGTGTGTGTGTGTGTGTGTTACCCCTGGTTGATGGGACGACTTCATTCGCGGCAGTTGCTACTTATCAGCAGCAGAAGATCTGCAATGATGAGCTCCTGCTGCTGCTGCTGCTGCTCCTGCGCCGTGGCACATACGCTTTATGGTTCTGGCCAGGCCAAAATGAGCAAATGGCGGAAAATTAAGCAAGCGACAAAGCGGGAGCGAGACACACAGAGTGAGAGACAGAGACACACAGAGAGAGATTGCAATCGCGACAGCAACAGCAACAGCAGCAGCAGCAGCAGCAGCTGCAACATGGCCACAACAACAAGCTGCTGCCGGTGCTCCTGCTGCTCCTGCTCCTGCTCCTGCTGCTGCCCCTTTAGCAACTAAGTTCTGCTCTTGTTATACCCGCTCACTAACTGAATAAAAAGAGTTGTATTGGTTTTAGGCAATTTTAGTATCCTTGTGAAATCGAAAAACCCTTCAAGTAGAGACCGTCTAAGTTTGACAAGAGCTTTAACATCAACTTTTGCTGCAGATCAACCAGGATGGATCTATAGACGAGTATATTGAGGCATTAGCTTTGCAGCTGAGCTACTCTCGAGCTGACCCTATGTGAAGAGGTATTACGCCGTCGTTGACATCCGTTTACTACGTTCCTACTCATTTCTTCTGCTTCTTCGATTGGGCTTCTTTGTGTTGACACTTGCAACGTGGACATGTTCATTTGTGTTTTAGCTGAGCGAATTATTTGCGGTGCAGCAACAACAGCAGCAGCAGCATCAGAATAATCGCAACTGCTTAAAATCTGATAACATCTCCTGGTTTTATATAGATCTCCAAATCGAGAAAAGATAAGAAAAAGAGACTAAAGGTAACCAAAGCCTAGCTGAAATTACCAAATAGATTATGATAAGAAAATACTTAAAATGTAAACGGAATAAGTCTGATTGTTCTTCCCCATCTCTACGACAAATCAGCTGCATTCAGCACTCGAGGAGGGGCAGCTAGAGGAATGAACTTCATAGCAGGAGTAGTCATAATTTGTCTACATCCAAATAAAATCTCAATACCAAATCTACTGACTTTTATTCATAAATTGACAAGCTGAGCTCACATAACTAAAGTTTGATATGGGCTTCTATTCGATATTATAGAAAAAGATCAAATTTATCGATTATTGGAAGGAAACTCAATATGCGCGTGCTATTGATGGGCCAGCGTATAAAAGTCTCAAGTATCTAGCTATCATAATTTAGCAGATCAAAGAAAGATATGTAAGCGGACTCACGAACGGACGGATAGACGGACGGACAGATAGACTGCCAGACTACAGGTGGACAAGCTGACGGATGTATGAACTAACGGAAAGGCGAATGAACGGACGGACGCATAGGCGGACGGACAGTTTGCCTGTCAGACGGACAGGCTGACTATCATCAACGGATGGACGATCTGACGTATAGACAGAACAGGCAGGCAATCTGTCGGATAGGCTACAGGTGGGTAGGCTTACGGACAGGCGGACGACCGGATGTACGGACCAACGGATAAACAGAAGAACGAACAGACAGTTAGGATAGGCGGACAGACAGTCAGATGTGAACACAGACTGTCGGAAGGTCAGACAGACTCTCAATCTAGCTGCAGAGGAGCTTAACCAAAGCTTAGCAGTAAGTCTTGTTAGTCTTAGCTCTAGAATCGTAGACTTGAAGGATTTCGTCCAGCTATAAAGGATGTTAGTTTTGAGCCAATTGGCAACTAAAGGCAAATGAAGGTCACGCCAATTGCTATTCCCTCTCTCTCTCTCTCTCTCTCTTTCTCTCTCTCTCTCTCTCTCTCTCTCTCTCTCTCTCTCTCTTTATCGATATCCTATCTATACCCTATGTATCTATCTATACCCTTTCTTAGGCATGCTCTCAGCTCTAATCTCCACTTGGGGCACTCAACAAGGTACAAATTCAATGGAATCGCATGCTGCACATGGGAAAAGATGAAGCAGAAGAAGTCGAAGACGACGAACGAACTTAAACAGAAGCGAACCTTAATTAGGGCAGCGCTCGAAATGCCACCTAAAATCCGACTTATTGACAATATCGCATCGGCTGGAGTTGGTACTCTCAATGTCAGTAGATAGCGAACCCATTTCAAAGGCATACACACACACACATACAGAGAGAGAGAGAGAGACACACATACACAGATAGACG